TTTTGTGTACATCCTGTACATCCGTGTTCAAATTATGTCAACACGTAATTGTAGCCTAGTTCGAGTTTGAAGGTTCATTACATTTTTGAAGTTCATTTAAGTACAATACAATGAATTGTTATGTCTACAAAATCGATCGATATCTGACAGCGAACATAATCCACACTGCACACGCGCTCTCAGGGTAAGTGAAAACTCGTACCCGGACTGCTAACCTCACGTGATCTCCTCGACAGCAGATGATCTCTTCACATACCGGGGACCTGGAAATGAGACGCAATTCAATTAACTCTTTGTAAAGCCGTTTAAAGCACTTACCTGCGGAGACAATTGAAAACACTTTGATTCTGGAAAGTACAAGAGTTTACATAGTACTATTACAGATCTTATGGCCTCAATAACAACAACCTCTGTTTGGTGACTATAAATCGTTACAACATTTCAAAGCTCAGGAATTTCTCATTTCCGTGATTCCCTTAGCCTCATCACCAAAGCGAGGCATAATGAACAACCATTCATTTCAAAGCGAGTTGAATCTGCGTGTGAATAAAAGCGGACGGGCACCAAGACTCGCGTTTTAACAAAGATAAACAAACAAACAAACAAACAATTTTATCATGAAAATCATACCAAGCAGGAGAAAAAGGACTGCACCCACTGCCAAATCAAAGGTTCTTAATCGACGCTAAGTCCCGTATCCACTTCCTCTCTCAATAAAGACTTTCAACTGGCGCCGCTCTGTATTATATTTCATAACTTTCCCCACCCCAGTTTTAGTCGCTTGTCGCTACTTTACATCCATCATTCAATGGTATTACACACAGTTAACTTAAAAATAAGAACCCTTTTCACTTAGATAAAAAGTGGTGTCTCCGAAGAGCTAAAGGTGTATAAGACTTCGAGTTTTCAAACAAATTTTCAAAATAGCAAAGAAAACCTTTCATCAGCCTTGGACTTAGGAGCTGTCCACACGTATCATGATATTTTTCTACATTTTAACCTTATATCCACAAGCACACGGTGTTTTCGGGCACCCCAAAACGCACGTTTTCATTAACAGTCTTCACAGTGGAGATTTTCGAAAACGCCGGCTTCTCGTTTACGTGTGGGCAGGTGAAAAGGTTTTCGAATACATCATCTACCAATAGCACTACGCATGCTCTGTAAAGGATGCTATCGTATTTCGTGTGGACGGGTGAAAACGGTTTAAATACGCTACGTGTGGACGCATACTGTTTGAAAACAACAACAACAACAAAAAGCCAGTAAGTTTTCAAAAACATCCCGATACTAGTTGATGGCAGTCCAGCTGGAACACTCACCTGAGACAAGTAGCAAAAGCCCGCCGGGCATTGCGATGAACAAACTGTATGGGAAACCCTTTGAAAGTGTGTCCATCCGGTATAGCGCGTCTAATTGCTTGCTGGAACTCTTCATTTCCAGCCGAAACTCCTGTACAATGCTCCAACTCATACGCCGCAAGCGCTGGAGTGAGAATGTAACTTAATTCGTCATCCCAAGCAGTAATCAATCCAAGATCCTAAGAAAATAAAAAAAAGATAACAATAAAATAAATAGAACGTGAAAGATTTATTATCCTTAGATCAAGCTTTCCAAAGCGAATTGGTTCTCAGCTGTCTCCATCGAAGCTTAACTAGAGTGTGTACAACTGAAGTTAATTTTGTTATAGCTCGGGCTATTTTGCGCTAAGTTGGGACGGCACGCGGTTAGGAAATTTCAAAAGATATTTATGACAGAGGATGATGTTTAAGCTTCTCCATATTTCGGGGCAAAATACCTCTTTTCAACAATTCCCAGTGGGCGGATGATCTCGATTGGACCCACTCGGTTGAAAAGTATGTAAAGGAATGTTCTGCGGATTGATCTAGTGGGAAAATTCTAAGTACGGTCACTCTCCTAGCCGGGCCAATTTTTCTCCATATAAATACTTTAGAGAGGTTAAGCTTCACGTTCACGTCAAACAGAAAACGCGAAGTTGTACCACCTGACCAAGTTTCTAATTTACTTGTCGTTTTACTGTTCATTATTTCTACACATAAATAAGTAGTTTCACGCATTTTTTTATCCATAAAAATTGTTTTGAGCAGTTTCCATTTTTTATTTTGAGAAATTCTCAACTTGAATCTGACGTTTGCCGTTTGCCGTATACGTGAGGCTTAAACCCTCTTTTGGCTTGGCCAGCCGGGTCAACTCGGTCAAGGCGAGACAATCGGAGGATGCGCGAGCGCTCTTGGCTTGGGCAAAGGGGTCAAGTCAACTTTTTCTCGCTTAAGTTGACACAGCTGGGAGGGGGACCATTCTAGTTGAGACAGGTTTTCGCCACCTAAACGGGACCTAACTCACATAAAAAAGAAACAAAACAAACCAACAACAACAACAACAACAACAGCAACAACAAAACAGCAAAAACGTTCTGGCCTGAAGAATTCTCAAGAAAGAGTGACAGCTTTGTAAGTCATATTATTGTGTTTACAAGTAGTCTAGGAAGCATGACTGCCTTAAGAGGCCTTACCCTTCTATGATCCGTCACGAGGCTCCTCATCTCATACTCCATGTCATTGCTAACTAAGGCCGAGTCCACACTCGGTGGGTAGAGAGGCGGAAAGACTGGTCCTCTCGGCTGTGATAATGGAAAGAAAAACACATATTTAATTTAGACTCCCTCTCCCAGTTGTTCGAAGGCCGGTTAGCGCTAATCCGGTGTTAAATTTTAATCCGGGTGTCTCTTTCGTTTGTTTATAAGCTTTTTCTCGGAAAAATATTTCTTTTCTTTCCAGAAAAGCGAATCATCAAATCGTAAAAAAACGAGTTAAACTGAATTTGCTAGTTAAACTTTCATATCTGAATTCAAATTTCGCCCTAACCCTGCGTTATCTAAACCGAGCTTTCAACAAGCAGCCCAGGCTAAGCAAGACAAGATGGATAAATTAACGTTAAGCAATTACAGTCGAACCTCTCCGCAACGGTCACCATGGGGACAGAAGAAAGTGGCCATTGTGGAGAGGTTGCCGTTATGGGGAGGTAGGGGTGTAATATGACAATTTTTGTAAGGGAGTACAACATGTTGTAAGCTCAACATGTGCTAAGCTCATGCTTATTGTATCCCATAATGATAACCCAATGATACACAATAATTATATGGA